AAAAAGAATGTCAAATATAGAAATATTTTAAATGTATAAAGAGATTCAAAGAAACGGAAATATTATCGGCTGAATCTGGCAGCCATGGCTGGTTTTATTTTGATGGAAATTTGGCCAATTAGCTGATATATTGATATCTAACACTAACCTGGTACTCAAGTTCTCAACAAGCAACTTGCCAGAAAAAAAGGTAAGAATTGCAGTAGGATGCTAAATGAAAATTCCTCCCTTCTAAGAAGAAAGTATTATGGTTCAAGTCTTTAACTACTATGGTATTATGCAAGTAATTGTCTCAAAATATCTTGATAGGATTATTAGGGAGAGAACATTAGCCCTTAGTTAAGAAATTGTTATAGTGGTTGGGCAAAGTTGGGATTATATTCTGGAAAAAAGTATTATATTAGCCTCTCCAAGTGCTTGAAACTTTATAATTTTCTTTCTAATATTAGAAGGAATATGTTCATTAGTTTCTCCCTCAATTTCTGGTTCCTGTCATCTCTCTTTAACAAAGCTACTTTCAGAATCATTTGTCACGCCGCCATAAATTCTTTGACTACTATCAGACTTCGAAAACATTCCATAATTCCCAGTTGTTTTTTAATATTCAGAGTTCATAGTTTTCAAGGACAGTTGCTTTTCGAAAAGAAATTTGAACGGTCTGCCTTGTTCATGCGCTATGTCTCAATTTCAAATAGATAGATGGTTTCTGTTGTGTGGGCCAGAGTTGCGACAACTCCCCTTAGTTTCTACGTTTTACTAAACATTTCAATATTATTAGCTTTTCCATCTATCAGTGAAGGTATTGGCTTACAACTTAAAGAGGTCTCCGTAATGTTTTCAATGTGAAAGCTGAAAGGATAAGGGACTATAAGCACTCGTATTTAAAGTGAACTCCCTAGAAAATCTGTGGGATACTTTCAGGGTCCAATGGACAGCGACCGGCTGAAATAGCTACTCACCTATAGGATTGGCTTGGAAAATGACAATAATAATGGACACCAAAAATGTGAGATCCCACTTGGGTTGGAGAGGGCAATCCAAGAGCATGGAGACCTCTCTCTAATAGAGTCATTTTAAAATCTTGAGAGAACCCGGAGGTGAAAATCCAAAGAAGACAATATTAGCTCGTAGTGGGTTTGGGCCGTTACAAAAAAAACCTAAATCATGATTCTAGATAACATAAGTACCCTAAATCCTAAACTTAGATGTTCCATAAAAAGTCTGAATTATATAGCGAATGAAACGTTTTCCCCCTTCTTTGAAAGAGGAAAAAAAGGAGTAGATTGGTACACTAGCAGCTCATTTAGTTACCTTATCTGAACCACCACATAAACAGACTCCTTGTGGGATGTGGTTGCTTCTCTCCATGAAAAACGTGAAGACAACCGTTTTTTTTTTTTTTTTTTTTTTTGTACTTCTAACTTTTTGGTAGATAATATTAACTTTAACTAATTCAACTACGTTGAGGTTGACCTACATGTAGTAGTTGTTTTTGTAACTGATGTATATATAAAATATAATGCAAGAACAAACCATGGCTACTTGACTTGTGAAAGTAAAATTAAATTTAAAAGCCAAAAGTTAGATAGAAACTTACTTGGAAGATGGAACCTCCTTCATTCTCACCAGATAATGAGCATTTTAGATTCAATACCAACTGCATCACATTAGGTAAGAAAGTTAGGTGGAATATAAATATCAATCAATCCAGTTAGCATCCAAAATACAGTGAGAAAAAGAATTCAAAAGCATATCTAATGAAACTGGATTATATGAAAATGCGTAGGAAAAGCAGATGCATTATTTATGTTAAACAGGTTTACTAACTATTAATTGACCAAATTAAATATGTTAATAACTATTCTAATGTGATATTCCGTAAAAGAACCGTTCTAATGCGGTAGGCTATATATCAATACTACCTGTGGTTCTTATACAGTTGAATAAATAGCAATATTGAACGCTTAACTTGCCGACTTCCAACAAAGAAAGAGAAAAATATCATACAGAAAAATTGATCAACCATTAACAACAGAACCTATAATCACCGGAAACTCGCAAGAGGAGAGTGAAGGTCTAACAGAAATATGAGTCTCATTCTGAATCATCTTAATTCAAAGAACAAACATACAAACAACTTATAGTTTTTCTAAAACAGCACATAAAAGGAAACTGCGTTTTCGATGAGAAAAACAATCGGTAAAATATTTAGAATTATAGAGACGAGGACAAACCTAATTAAAACCTGATTGGGAACTACACTATTTTCTGTTCTTTTCAAATCAAAAGTTAAGGATCTCCAGCAATTCAACCACAAACAAATCTTCCGAATGGATGCAAATTCTAGATGGTTGCGTTGGCATTAGCCACATATCCTACCCAATGTTGTCTGTATAAGTAGGACCTCCTCTTTTCCGCTTCTTTCACCGTTCTGTTCCACCCATAACGAACGCTCTGTGCAGGGAAGGATGTGGTACCAAAATTAGGACTACTAGAGGATGTTGATAATCTTCTTGAATCATCTTTCTTCATCTTCGGTACATTTCCAGGCCGATCGTCCTTCTTAATAATCGCCGTCCTCATCGTGAGTGCATCCACTCCTTCACTCTTACTTCGAATGTGATTGTATATAAGATCCCGAAATTTCCACCTGTTTAACAATTCTATTCCTTTATGTTTCTTTTCAGGTAGTGTTTTCTCAGCGCTAGGAGACCAGACGCAGTACGTATCCGGTGGAACGCCTGCAAGACCGTCCGCTCCAGACGAGGAAACCGACGTCGTTTTACACTCCTCTTCGTTCATCATGTTTCTCAACGGCGAACGATGCACAGTCGACTTCTTCAAGTTCTCCAATACGGTGCCTACTCGTGAGCCGTTGTCTAGCAGTGAGTCCATATTGAATACCGGATAAACCGGCATGATCTGACCATTGTAAAAGATCTCATGAGCAGAGCTCGTAACTGCGTCTGGTTCTCTGCAGAGAACAACAAACTTAAATTCATCATCGTAGCCATTTTTACCACAGTCATCACTTCTAACTCCTTCCGCTGATTCCCTTGCATGGCTGTTGGACATATTTTCTCGGAAACGGTAAACCGAACCCTGGGACTCCCAGCCGTAATTATCAGCATCTGCAAACGGTTCCTCTCCAATTTCCCTAACAGCTGTGGCGGCAATTTCAGCGAGGCAACAACTACCTGAAGAATAGATGCTAAAAGTCGGCGACGGCGAAAGGTGTGTGGGACCTTCCTCAGCCTCCATTGTCAGAAAATTCGCAGTCGCGATTCTCAGAGCTTCAGAGAGAGAGAGAGAGAGAGAGAGAGAGGAAGCTCTGCGATAATGGCGGAAAGTCAGGGAAATGAACGCTTTCGATTAAGCTTTATAGGCGGAACTGGAATTGGAGAAGGCGCCAGAGCGGCTAATTTAAAACGATGAAACGAACGGCGGATACAACTTGCGCGCTTTAATTAATGGGCAGAGAGGGTTTTTTGCCTTTCATTTATGAAATAACACGTGTCAATAATGCTAATTAAGACCAAAGACTGTTCACACGTGCGAGCGACCAAGCCTAGCTCGGTTTGAAATTTGAACAAAACTACGGGCTGTGAAAGTGGACCGTGACGTTAGAATCGTGGCCCACTGGGCTGGACCCACCCAACCTTTTTTTCTTTTTTGCTTTGCCCTTTTCATTTAAATGAGGGAGATAGTGAGGATGTCCGATCAACCAATGAGTAGATGACGAACATTCAACCGTTCCCAAATAAAATCAAACTGCAATTCATAGAATCAAGCTCAAAAGAGAACTCAAAATTCCGGGTGACCTTCTGTGATATTAATTAGTACAAGACATCGATATTAACACACCAATACTTATTCTAACCAAAACTTAGGCGGATATTATAAATTTAGTAACTATCAACCTAACATTTTCTATTAATGTTGGGATGATTTGTGCAGGCTAGTTAGGATTATCAAGAATTAAGTAACAATTAAACAAAATTTTATGTAAATGCCTCAAAGTGTGATATTTGCTTCTTCTTTTTCGTACCAATATTTTGACTATTTTGAAGGTAGTTTTGATCCCTCTTTATCTTGATTTTAAATAATTCACGATTTATACTCATAGAATAGAACTACTATGGTAATCAACATCGAAAATAAAGAATTATAAAATGGTCGTTACATATGAAAGATGAAAGTAGGTAGAAAACTGAACGTTGAGAAAGTTGTGAAATAGACAGGGTAAGGATGAAAGGAAATGAAGAATTAGAATTATAGGGGCAACTTCCAATGGTATTGGATTATTCTTCTCCTTCTTATTATTATTATTAGACAAAAAAAATCATAAACTTATTGTCACATGGACTATAAACCAAAAAAAGGATAATCCTTGTGATATACTAAACAAACTTGTTAATTCTAGGAGTAATGTCAATATGAGTATAGTTTAACCGATATTAGATATTCAAATCTTCTACTCAAAATGCTTAAACTAAAAAAACTACGTAGAAATAATAGTATATGGATGAATCTAATATATATGAAATTATTAAGTAAACGAAAAAAGACTAATATATTTAAATTCGGTAATATTAATTTGAACTTATGCCGGTTGTGATCAAAGACATAAGTTCATATTAATTAATATCACCAAATGTAACATAAAAGTTTATATAATTACGAGACTCAATTTATTTGGTCCGTTTCCAATTGGACCGGATTAAATTGCCGAAAATTTGAACAATTTTTTTCTGAAAAATTAAAATGAATATGCATATACAGATTAAAAACCACATAAAAGAAAAATAGTCTGATTAATTAAATCACATATTGTGTGTAATTCTCGAACAAATTAACAGTAATAAATGTGATTTAATAGTACAATAAAGAATGAAACCTCCGCAATAAGAGTTGTCATCTTCACAGACAATATATAAATGAGATGAACACAAAACAATTTTAAATTTCCTCCTCCCAATTTCTCGTTTTTTCTTGCACTCATGGAGTTCGAATCGAGTCTTAGACAAAATCTTAGCTCCCAGATTCAACAGGTTTGTTCAGAAAATTATGCCCAAATCTGCAAGAATGATGAATTATCATTCGAAATTTTTGCATCAAAAGGTAATTATCTGCAAGAATTTCATAACCTGGATCATTTTCATCCCATTGGTTCATCGTCCAATCATCCTGTTATGGAAGACGAAAATCTGTGCAGTTTCGATCCTTTGAATCCATACTCATATGGGTGTTCTTCGAATAACAATATGGGCGTTGAAGATTTGTATGATTTTAGTAAAGGTTGCACTACAGATCAAAATGGTGGGTGTGGGCAAGTGATGGACAACTTCCAAAGTTGTGGAGATTATTATTATCAGAGGAATCAAATTGAGATAATGGAATTAGAAAGAAACTCCATGATTCCATTGAATTTCCAAGAAATAAAACCTGTAAATTTCATTGTAGCTGATGAAGTGTCCTGCGTAACTTCAGGACATGGCCATATCCAGAAAGCTATCATGAATAAGAATGCAACATTTCCATCTCTGTTAAGAACATCTAAAGTTCGAAAGAAGCCTACTGTGATCAAAGGCCAATGGACAATTGAAGAAGATAGGTAGACAATCCTCCCCTCCCAATTCAATAAATCTCAATGTTCTTAATCAAATTCTCATACTGAAATATCATTATAGGCTTTTGGTTTGATATTTGTCTAAAATTAAACAGGCTTTTGGTTCAATTGGTTGAACAATATGGAGTGAGAAAATGGTCTCACATAGCGCAGATTCTGCCAGGAAGAATAGGAAAACAGTGCAGAGAAAGATGGCACAATCATCTCAGGCCTGACATTAAGGTATTTTCAATTCCAAAATTGATTCCAATTTTTTCGTTTTCCTTCCATAATTACTTGAAATGTATAGGGAATTTAATCATGGAAATGAATGCAGAAGGATACATGGAGTGAAGAAGAGGATAGGGTTTTGATTGAGGCGCATTCAGAAATCGGGAACAAATGGGCGGAAATAGCGAAGAGATTACCTGGAAGAACAGAAAACTCCATAAAAAACCACTGGAATGCGACCAAGAGAAGGCAATACTCAAAGCGAAAATGCAGATCCAAATATCCGAGGTGCTCTCTTCTGCAGGACTACATCAAGAGCCTGAATCTGGACTCCGTCGCCGCTCGCCACCAGAAGAAAAGCTCAGCCACCTCCGCCGTCAACAACACTAAATCAAAAGTGGCCGATCATCATCATCATCAAACGCAAACCACTGAGTTTTGCCCTAACGATTGGACAGTTCCGAATTTCGATTTCAAGGACGAACCAGAGATTTACCTCGACGATAGTTTCTTTCCGGAAGGATGTAGCATCAACTCGCTCGTGGAAGATATTGCCGGCGCCTACGTTGACGACGCCAATAATTATGATCGGAAAAGATATAACGACAATGAAGAATCAGTTGAGTTTCGTCGAGTTGAAATGGAGAGATCGCAGTACCGTGCTCCGGTGAGTACGGCGGGCATGGTGGCGGGAATGGAGTTTGAAGTGAAGAAAGAACTTGATTTAGTAGAAATGATGATTCAAGTGAACGAAGTTAATAACTTTAAATAATGAACCAAAAAATATTTATTTCATGCGCTATACTCGCTTTTTTAATTTAATAAAAATAAAGATCACAACTTCTGATCTTTTCATAGATGCTACATATATAATGTTTGGAATATTTAATGCTTAAATCATGAATAAAAATAATCAAGTTGAAGTACAAGTAATTATTTAAATAAAAACTAATTAAAAATTTTAAATTTTAATAATTTATTGAATATTTTTAATATTTGAGAATGTATTCAAGTATCTACTAAATTTATATTATTTTTTGGAGCAAATTCCTTTTTTTTTTTGTTGGTTATTACAACTTTTTTATGATAAAAACCCGAGTATATGTTATTTTTTGGTTTTTTCTCTTTTTCGTGTTCAACAACCTTAACTGTACAAGTCTGTGGCCGAGAGCTCTCACATCCTACACACAACGACACAATTATTAGGGACGTGCTTTACCACTGAGGTAATGGCTCATCGCGTTGACCTCCTGCTAGGGCCCGCTATGCCAAAAGTAAGAAAAACTTCATCACTCTATAAATAGAGTCCATCAGCTCGGGAAGAGAAGTAGATCCCTCGATCAACCAAGAGAGGTCCAGTCCTTCTTGACCATTCATCATTCAAGGACTGAACAAAACTCATTCAAGGATAGGTGAAATTAATTAATTATTTTACGTTTGACTAATTAAATTAATGCTTAAAAGTGTGATTAACTAATATTATGGAGGATAATTTTGACTTCTCGTAATAATTATAAAACTTGTGTAGCATAACTGCTAATTAAATCCATGCTTAAAAGTTTCATTAAGACAGTAGTTAGTTTTTGCAATAAATAGAAAACTCATGCACCATAACTCCTTGACAAACGGATAAAGTCATTAATTAAGCTTAGCAAGTAATAATAAAAAAATAAAAAATAAAACTTTGAAACAGATACTCAAACAAATCATTATATTTTTAAACTAATAAGATATAATATTTGAAGAATATATTAGTTATGAAATATATTTTAGATATTATATTTTAATATTTATGTGATTTATAGTATATTTTATTTTATTTTTCTCAATATTTAATTAGTCACATTATAAATATTAATGGGAATACACATTTTCGATCCGAATTATATTTCTCATTCTTAACATAATTATATATTTTTTTTATTGATATTTTTTAATTACTAATCTGTTTGAGATTCACTTTTTGTCTAATATTCTAACTAATGCTTTGAAATATTATTTATAAAAATTAATGATAATGCAACAACTCATACTCACTACTAACTACTAACAGATATTGTAACTTTGTAAATAGTTTGTTAGACAAAGGATCCCACCATCGATATGAGATCTGACGGATAATATTATAGATTTGAAAAGAAAATGATTATTTTAAAATAAATAGTGTGAAATAAATAAACGGACATACTGATCATAAAATATTGTTACAATATACATCATGTGTTTATTATTTTAGCATATATATCCAACAGATTGACAAATGGGGCTTTAGAATTATAAAAAAAAATGGTAACCCAGACACAAAAAATAGGCACATGTTCAGAGGGAGGTGGAAGGGAGAGAACCCATGACGATGATATTCTCACTGTCTTTATGTTCTTTGGCAAACAGGCCTGATAGAGACCTCAAAGGCGAAATGGAAGTTGATTTTCCCAGAAATGAGTACACACCTCCATTCTCCTCACCATCCGTCCCTAATCCACGGCCTACCTTCCTTGCGAGCCTACCGGTCTCATCGACTCTAAGGCTCGCCCCACAATGACATTTCATGAGCTTTACAAAGCAAGGTTTATGGAATAAAGATTCACATGAGGCACATTTATCCATCTCAGTTTCCTGAAGGTTTTAAACGCGAAGGGTCATCATGGAATGCGTGGAGGGAAATTCAAATTCTAACGCAGTCTAGAATAAGTGTAAGGATTTCAGTATATTCAGAATATGGGAATGCAATTACAAGATGTGGGGGGAGGGGAGGGTTACCTGAAAAGGAAAAATGAGAGACAACGGGGTACTGCATGCTTGACGAGCACCACATGAAACGCCAGCATCACAGCACACAAGGCATTTCTCCTCAATGTGCTCCAAGATTTTCCTCGAGATGGTCTCCAGTATTGTAGGTAATACTGCAAGAATAATTTAAGCGTACACAGTGAACAACAAAAAGGTTGAACAGGACACAATAATATTAAACCAAAACTAACATAACTAAGTCGAAATCAACCTGCAAATGCCCCTTTGGATAGATCAACAAGGTCTCTAAGTGCAAAAAAATCATTGCTTTCAACAAGATATCTACGGAATCCCAGTCCTCTGTTAATTGACCTACGAAACGGGCAGCGAACATATGAAATCATATCTCCTATTTTTTTCCTCACACCCATAACATGAAGCAAAGCTGGGACCTTTGAGAGGAGAGAAGGATTAACCGCACTGACACAAAGCATGGGCTGCCAAAGGAAGTTCAATAAGATGTAAAAAAATTACTTGCCAACGTTCAGTAGTATTTCTACCTACTAGCTAACCATAAAATGCCTACAGATCATATCCAAATGCCATTGACTATAAAATTAGCATGCATTCATTGCAGTAGAAATAAGCAATGAATAACTCATTGCAAATGATTTAACTCTCTCTAGATCATAAATGTCCCTATCTTTTGTTCTTGTTCGACTGTTTTTTTACCAGAACTCTATATCCAAAACACAAAAAAATAGTTAAGATACTAGCCAACCAGCTGACAGTTCAAATTCGACGGCACTATAATTATGCAAGGACAGACAATTTCAACATTGCTCTCCTCTCTATTTAGCTAGTGAAAAAAGACCCAGCAGAACACAACAATCTGTTCTGCAGAGCAAAGGCTGTATATACCAATTACTCATATATCCCAATAAACTTTATATGAACTAAAGAGAACTATCAAAGACAATACAGTTATAAAAGATTAAATGGAAATTTGTTCTGCATAAAATACCTGATCATGTATGGAATCCAAATATGACTTAGCTAACTGAGAAACTGGATATTGAGTGAAGTCCCAATGATGTAAAACTCTTGCTGGTATGACTGCCATCTCATTCGTATGGCATGAAAAGCAAAACATCTGAGAGGTGTAATCACAGACTCGTGGTTTGCCCCATCCAAAACTCTGTACAAAGCCTTTCATCAGAGTTTTCTGATCATCAAAATGTCTATAACATCCAGCACACATATAATGCTGCATCTCCAGTATTTGTCTTGTAGATTTGTACGGCCGAATTTCAACAATTAGTGATATGGAATTCCCCAAAGAGAACAAGTTTTGCGTGTCAGACACACTTGCAGTATCAGGTGATTGAGGTACTGCAGTATCTGCTGTAGGAGAGCTGGAGTTTGATTCTTGAGAAGACAAAAACCAAATTAATGGACTCGGATTGGTTGATGAAAATCTTGAATGAAGAATAGAACATAAACACTCTTGAATTAAAACACTTCTTTCCGCAATAATGTCCGGAGAGGCACTCCCAAATAACTTTCTTGATCTATTATCAACTGCGGACCAGGGAGAGGGTAAACTCCACCCATGATCAGCAAATGATGATTTCAACTGACAATATAGAGAATAGAAATCTCGGTAGCGGCGTTCAACCTCCCACTGTTTCTTGTCACTCCATACCCTAAGTTTGTATACAGTGTACTCCTTCACCCCAACTAGTCTTTCACTGAATGATACATCCCCTCTCTTTTGTCTTGCCCCTATCACTTCAACCCCATCAATTTTCAAGTTTTCTGGGTTACTTGGATCAGAACTGTTAATGCCTGAAGTAGGTGTAGTTGATCCTCCATCCCTTAGTGGTAAAGATGGTAGTGACTGAGATATCTTATATTTATTAGTAAATCTAGCACCTGGAGAATCACAAGATTCAAGTAGTATTTCTTCCATTTCGTGAACAACTTCATCATAGAAATCATGTAGCTCAAGTTTTGCTAGCTGCATGGAAAAAAATTTGCAAGAATGTGAGTGCTTCAAGATAGGTATTCATTTCAAAGCCAACACTCATTGTACTTGTACATCGACCATACACTTGCAAGGGATTGATGACTGCCGGAGGAACAGATATACAATTGCAAAATAAATATAGAATGGACAGATACAATAAGTGAAATACATTGGATTGATGGCTCCTCTTATATTTAACAATACATTTCATCAGTGGCATTACGGTCCTTTCATCCCCTCGCATACAAATACACAAGCGTCTTAAAATGTTTATAGAATATTTCTAAAGATTCATTGGACATAATCTTATAGCTGAGGGAGCGTTAGTGGGACAGAGACAGTGTGTTCAATCAGTTACTAGGTGATGATTTAAGATTTTGCACAATTCGAGACAATTTTCAAGGCAAGTAAGAAGTCAAAGCCAATGATAACCGAGCATCATAAACAAAGAAATTTCTACTGACCTCAACTGGCAAAAGATGACGACCTTTTGATTCAGGTATTGGTGTGGAATGTGCCAAATCCTCACTACAGTCACTAGCATGAGTCAAAAGACGATTAGTTAAAGCAGCACCAAGAGGGTCCATTTTTGTTTTCACATTTCCTAGTCCTTGGCTATCTAAGCCTTGATTCACCGCTCCACCATTATCTTCAGTTTCTAGGATTTGAGGTTGCGTTACAGAGTTACCATCCACAGTGCACATGTGCTGCTTTGAAGTAAATTTCTCTGCTCCTGTACCAACTTCAGAAATATTACAAACAAGACATTCACCGTTATATGCAGTTTTATCAGCAGCTCCTGCCTGATTATTAACCACAAATATATCCTTTGCATCTTGATCTAATTCAACACCGTATGAAAAATCAGCTGCAGTTAAAAAAGTATTGTTTGCAATTTCCTCCAACTCGTCAAAAGACTGGACTTGACAGATCGCCATAGGAATGTCCCGCACTTGAATCACGTCGTTTGGTCTTTCAGCAGTTGGCACAATCATACAATCCCCAGAACTGCA